CTTAATCACAAATGCTTGACCAAGATTGATTTTGAAACACACTCATAACGTAAAACAGACAATTCCAGGGATTCCCCTTACTGGGGTTAAAACATGTTCCCAGTTTTGACCTGCTGCACAGTTTCAATAATCGTAAGAATAAGGCCGATGACAGTCTGCCTGCTTCTGCGTCGGACCATTTAATAATTTACGTCTTTTTTCTGTCTGCTCAACCATTTGATTACCATGTACACAACTTATCTCACTTTAGTAACAACAAAGAAGATGCCTTCAGTTGTTCCTTAGGGGATTAATCACTACCAAGGGCAGCTACTGGTTGATCACCCAAACATCAAGATAAAAGGTCGTTTCACATACTGAACAGTGTATACAATGTTATTTTTGTAGGATTAAGAGAAATAGCAGGAACAGTATATGTTTAACGGCTGAGAATCACAAGACAGATAAATGCAGCAAACATATCAGCCAATGCAAAATGAAAACAGTAACTGCTGTGCCAGTAGCTTTAGGCCACGCTGATTACTGAGTGTGTGATTTCCGCACTTTGGGACATTTAAATACTTTCTATGAATATTGGGAATTTTCCTCTTAGAAATTGACTAAATGTATCTTGAAAAATTGATATTCACAACAAAAGTGCCATCATTTGCCTTTTAAACCTCTTTGCATGTGCAGCCAGAAAGTCTTCACTTCTTTCCTGTGTGTTCTACTGTCAATATCAAAACTTTTTTTCACAGTTTTCACACTGTGATAAAGTTTGGAATTTCAGTGGACAATGGACATTGGGCCTACATCAATTGGTTCATGGCTAGAGTTCGCCATGTTATCCACTGGAGAAAGCTCTTCTTCCTTTGACAAATAATTTCATTCTTTAAAGTTTACACTGTTTCTTTAATGCCGATTGGCTGAATCATTTGATGTGAATTTTGTTGTGTGAAATTGATTATGTGAACTTTTGCTGGAACTGCTTTCCGGGGTTAGCCCGAACTCTTGACCAGCGTTTACAATCAACTTGTTTTTCTTTTTTTTTAATCCCTGCATTTATCAGCAATATAATTAATTTAATATTTTTGCCTGGTCTTGTAACATTTTATCTGACTGTAAACTAAATAAATGCTTTGGTTCTGGTGTTTGATGTCATCTGCTACATGAAACATGGGCTCTGAAAATATTCAATGGTTAGCCAAATAAAATTAATCTATGAATACACACTGCCATTTAGAAAGTGGTCAAATGTAACTAATGTTATATTTGGGATAACACTTTCTTGGTAAAGAACAGATTCTAGTACTTTTGGGGATGAATCCAGTCCAGGATTCGAACCCACACTGCCAGAGTGAGGCACCTAATAGCATACTTTGTGTCTATCTATGAGCTATCCTGCTGGAGGACGTCAAAACCTTGTGCACACTCCCAAAGTGGAACCGCTAATTTGTTCCGTCTGCTCTGTTGGAGGATCTATTTAAACCTCTTACATCTGCCATGTTGTTACAAATGACCAAGAAAACAGAAAGCCTATTGGCCAGGGCCATTGTGATTAGGATCTCTGTAGTTCATGCTCTTTATTTACCAGATTCATGCAGGCGGAAAATGAGTTAAGATCCAGTCTACCGCCCTGGGATGGCTTAGACATAGATAATACACGATTTCTGCCCTTGCCAAGGCTTTAACACCACGACATCGACCTCTCTGTCCTGTTCTGGCTCTCCTATTCTACTCAGCAGCAACACAATCACACAGGAGATCCAGACAAGGTCTCATTTCATGTAAAGAAGCTTTGGATAAAACAGGATAGCTTAAAACTCTGACAGTTACAGACACATGGAACTGACAATTAAATTGTAAGGTACTTTCACTGCTTATGAAATCAGGGCACTGTCTACCATCTTTGCTTCATTGAAAACAGTCTCAGTAGAATGAGTTTTCTCCAGTTATGTGTCATGCTCCAACAACATGTTTTTCACTTCTTATATTTAGAACATTTTGCTGAATAAGCTACTGGCTGTCAGGTGGTTGCAGTCCAGTCAATCATCACCCAGTAGCTCCTCTCACCTTGCCTGGGAAAGGAGGATTGCGCCGGGTGTACTTTTGGAACCATATTGTCTGCAAGGTGCAGGACAGGTCATAGGTTAACTGCAAGTGATCACACTCATAAGTCACAGGAATTATATCAATGCCAATGGAAGTGGGAGAGGTTTAGGAAAGGGTAACAAACTTTCAGTATCTCAACTGGTTTTGCATAGTTGACAGTCAAGAGGATTTTTGTCGAAAATATCAAGATTTTATAAGTTGATGACCAAAATTTCTGGCATACTTTCAGCATTACTTTTTTATGAGTTTTCCTTGTGCAGAAGATATGAATGCTTGACAGTATGAGTGTCAGTAATTTATGGCTTCATCACAACATGTTTATATCACACATGGTATGGACGTTATGTACATTGTACATATTTGTGGACAGGTTAAATATATTTCATATTGTTTTTCACTTTTATAAAGAAATTTATATTTACATGTCAAGTACACTGTTTTCATCATCTTCGCATTGTTCAGTCGCTTCAGACTGTAATGAAGAAATTGTTGTCAGATTCCATTTTCCCATGTCCCAAAAACCAGACAAATAACATGCAACTTCATGTATACAGGCAGTGCAAAATGGGCTGTGCACAGGAACAACGACAGACCCTCCTATCTATTTGAATAAAAAGCATTGAATGGGTTTAAAATGAAGGTTTATTGGAAGCTTTGTTTCTGTATTGGAACTGAATGCTCCGAAACTCTGTCAAATGCAACAGAATAACTTTGGCTGTATCAGTCAAAAGCCAATCATAGTTGATTGACAACACCTTTTCCCGAAAACCAGCATGCAAGAAATGGCAGCGATAAACAAATAAGCGACAAGCAAGTTATTTCTTTTGGTTAGACTCAAAGTCTTGACTGTAAAGCATAAAATTCATGGCGCTGAGCAGCTACTATTGATATGCATCAGTATTTGTTATCTAAAGTGAGAGACATACATGTTTCCTTGTATCAGTTATCGCAAATAAATGGGCAGTAGTCATGTGTGGTCTCTGAACATGCTGAAGATGTCTGACATCTCGCCCGTCCACCCACCAGTTCCCAGCAATCTTGGCAACTGTGTGGTAGCCAAAACAAACACATTGGGATCTGGTAATGGTATAGGTTTATAAAAAAATCATATATATCTATATTATTGTTTAAGTGCCAATCAGCTGCAGATGAAATCCTTACTGTTGACATTAACTGACAGAAAGTTTTTATTAGCCCTGTCATATCAACAATTTTTGGGCAAATACTAGATCTAGCTCTAAAATGTAAACAGTGAATGAAATTTTAGGTGAAGTCATTTTTCTAGCTCAATGACTGATAAGCTTCCCATTTGACACCCATCAAAATATGACCGCCTCCGTGGTCTAGAGGTAGAGCGTCCGCCCAGAGAGCGGAAGGTCCGGGGTTCTATCCCTGGCCGCGTCATACCAAAAGACGTTAAAAGATGGTATTTGTTGTTACCCTGCCTGGCGCTCGGCATTAAGCAGCTAAAACAAGGACTGGTTGGCTCAGAGTCAGTATACTGTGTCTGAGTGGGGTATTCATGTTAAAACTGTGGCATGGTATTTCAGTGGGCTAGCACTATAAATCGGCATCAGTCCGGATTAGTAGAAGCACACACACATACACTCACACACATGCATGCACGTCGCTATATAAGTGCAATAATCTTGGACGAGACTTTAAACCCCATCAAGATACAATGCATGCATACATAATGCCATGTTTCGCGCACTGTGCCAATGATGTCAGTTTTGATTGTGGCTGTGTGGTGATTCCAATGAGAACCGCTGTTACAACAATAGTTACTGTTTTTATATTGCATTTAAAACTATTCCTTCGCACTTGGTAGCTATTCTAATTCAAATCAATTGGAGAGCCTGAAAAAGAACTGACAGGCATTGCCATGGTATGCCTCCTTACACTGCCCAGAGCTGTACAGCAAAACACAGGTTTCAGTTTTTAATTCACTGATCTCTGCAATCTCAGGTTTTAGAATCCCAACCAATATCTCAGTCATGTTTTATCTTAAATGTAAAGCTCTGATTACACCAGTGCCATCTCTACTAGCTCAAGGTTAGGCACTCTAAGCCTTAATCCACTCTAGGCAGATAATCTATAATTCTTTTACCACCTTAAGTTTTCTCTTAGTATTTACAGTTTATCTTTTTCCATTAACTTCCTTGGTGGAAAATGAGCCTCACGAGTTATGTCACAATATGTTCAAACAGTGGTGTGCCTAAATTTTCAGACAACATAAGTAAAAAGGTTGTATTCTCATTGTAGTCAGAACAAATAGTTTCTGTTGGTAACACCACCTCTTTACTTATGGATTCCCTGCTGCTTCCCATATGTTGGATTCCCTCATATGTTTCACAAGGGCCACATTGTGTTCTCGTGTATAAAACTTATTCTAAACTTGGGCGAAGACTTGCTAACTAGAATTTTGAATGATAATAGGTCAGCATAAGTAAACAGGTAGTTATTACAATACTTTACTCAAAATGATACTATTTATCTTTCATTAACTCCCTTACTATTGTAAAGCAAGTTTTTACAATGAAGGACTGAATCTGTGTTAAATCTGTCAAATCTATGAATCTAAAAGACTGATCATACCACTGTAAAGGCTGACAATGCCATTGGTCATTTTGTTCATGAAAACTGTAGAACCTGGATCATGTGTAAATTTACACTGATCAAATTCAGTAACTGTATAATGTGCATCTCCTTTATGTAGTTAAATCATATGGATGAAACGTGAGATAATGTTCAAAAAGAATTGGTGTGTCTCCTGAATGATAGTGTTGAAAACTGCTTTGTTTATGCACAGTGTTCCATGTATGTGAACAATTTCATGATCATGAGTCTTTTCACATTACTGATGTGAACTATACTGTACTATTAATAATGATATACTTTTGCGACAGAACAAGAGCAGAATTGAAGCAACAACTACAGTGAATGAGAACTTTGGTAAACTCATGTCAAAACTGCTGACAAGTCATTGGCCTGAAACAGAGGATCAAGAAATAATCATGGAGCACTTATTGACATGGGAACCATTGTTGCATTACTTCAAGCGATTTGGTAAGAAGATCACATTAATTCTATCTTGCCTAAATGTGAAAATAGATTCATAACTGTCAAACATTTGATCTCATTGGGGAAATATAATTGTTCTTCAATATTAAGTAGTTTGCAGTGTAATTTGGTGATTGTACATGATGTTGCATAAGTTTAATCAGTTCGAGAATCAATTTCAAACTTTTGGCAGTTATTTTTGTGCTATAACATATGCTATATTTGGTGTGTTGATGCTTGGCACTAGTATGCTAAAGTATGTTGGATAAGATTTGAACATTGCAAAGAAGGTGTGACTATAAAGGCAATAATGTTTTCATCATTATGTTTAGATTGAGTTGAGAATGTCATTTCAGCCATCATCTGTCTGCCAACCATTAATAAATATGCTTACCATTAGTCGCTAAATGTACAAGTTATGTTTTGGTTGTCTTTTCAGTCATCAACTTGAATGACCCCAAAGTGCTGTCAAAACACTGTACTGTTTATATCTTGAATGCAGCACAGCTTCTGGACATGCTCAAGATATCTGTTAATGATGGCAGTATCCCAGTGTCACAACTGAGGTTGATTGTTGCTGACAGTGACAGGTTCTTGGAATTATTAGCAGCTTGTGCAGGTGTTTATGAATCTAGGGACCTGAGCACTGATGATGAGGATGGTGCCGATAAGACTGAACATGAAGAAATGCAACATATTCTTCTTATTCGCCAGAAGGAACTGAAGGTCGCTGAAGAGAGTCTCAGTCAACTGAAGATTCTAATGCACTATTGTGTTAACATCACCAGTGGTAAAATATGAATTTTCTACACTTCCTCAATTGTTACATGTCTATTTTCATAAGCTCCTCTGAATGAAAGTGAGTAATGAAATTTGGTATATGTGTGGTTGGTAGTGGGGCTCAACACATATTCCTTTTTTCACAATATGTTGAATTTTGACCTAAATTTGAACTGTGCACTTTGACCCTACACCTATATTCTCTCAAAATATAAATTTCCTGGCATAATCTTGTAGGAAACCATTGGACCAATGAAGGGTAACTTCACATTCATGATCCAACCAAAATTTACACCTGTATTTGTTTAAGAGGTTTGAATCTGATTTTCAAAAGCAGCCGTATTGACAATCCTATTTCTGGCCATTTATACTCAGCTATTTTCACTAAAAATATAATGAAATTCGGTACATGAGCAATAAGTAGTCGGGCTTTACATTAAACAATAGTTAGGTATCATTGTTAACAATTCTATCCTGTAATTTGTCAGTCATCACAACATAACAAATTTCAAATGTTAAGTAGAAGTCCTCGATCTTCATTGTCAACCATGCATAATCAGTTGTGCAAGGAATAGTATCTTGCTGCCCAGGACTCTTGTGCATTAGCAACGCAGAAAACCTCACTTTTTTCCAATCAGCAGTGTACTAGATGCAGATTGGTGAGGTGGGTGATATTACTTCTAATGTATTATATATTCTTTTAATTATTAACAATGTTAACTATTGTTTTAATATTTCTGAGAATACAAAACCTCTTCGTTTTTGGGTACTTATTAAGTCCAATACCCCTTAAAGTGGTAAATAATAGGTGTACAGTGGTCCCTCGCTACAACGCTACCAATGGGGTTCAAATAATTGGTGGGCGTTATAGACGATGAGTGGTTTAACCGAGGCCGAGGCGGGGGAGCGCGCTCGGCCAATCTCACGATCTTCGCCTTGTCTCGCACATTGCAATGAAACAAGTTGTTTACCGTTCATAGTGTAAAAATATATATTCATTATATTTTCGCCATTTGTTATTATTTACGAGCCTTAACAGTCACATTCAATGTGAATGTAGTCTACTTACATGAAAATATCGATCGATAATGGTAGTAACAGACGCTATGAGTGAAGAGCCAAACCAATTCATTACACAAGTACAGAGTGATTCAGTGGCATTGATTGGTCATGTTGCTTAAAATACGGAAAACGACAGTTTTGACCAGCGCTATGCGCATTCATACACATTCATGCAAATATAGATACACATTCAAGCCAGATTAATTGGTTTGATAACGTTACTTGATCCGAATCAAAAGGAATGACCGCCGTGTTGTAACAGCAACTACATGTGAGTTGACAGTGTCCCTCAAATTGGATTGCCCACTAATTAAGAAAATAAACCTCGCTTGTGGTTCTCTTTTATTGCATACATGCGCTTCTAAGATCAAAGGATGTATAGTGTGAAAAGTTAACTAGTAGAACAATCGTATTTCCGGGACTTGCCGCGGATGTTTTCAAACAGATTATTAGAACTCCATTCAGCGATAAACGGTTGATTATGCAATGAGAAGCGTTATGTGCAAATGAACAACGAACAACAATACAATAGCGGCCGTGTAAAACTCTCAGTATTAAAAGTGTACATAAATTTTGGGAGCCATGCGATACCGCGCGTAGTAACCGAGGTAGTGCTTTATCAAAGAGCCCAATAGCGAGGGATCACTGTATATCGAACCGAATCACTTCAAAAGGAGTAAATTCAGAAGAATGACAAGGACCAAGCAAATCTGTGATAAACTTCCATAGAACTATCATAAAATTTCATCCAATTCCCACTTGTGATGTCTGTTAACCTATGACCTGTCCAACACCCTGTAGACAATAATGATCAAAGGTGAACTTGCCGTCCAAAGTTGCTCCCAATGCTGGAATGACTGTTCTTTGCTTCAAATTCTGGGAGAGATCGGATCATGATAGAACTCCAATCTTCTGTGTGAGTTGGTCTTGAAAAGTCCAATGCTTGAAGTCCCGATACTCTAGCTGTTGTAGCCATGTCTAGATGAAAAGCTGTCTTCCTGGATCTCTAAAGCAATGTAGTCTTGCTAATGGTTCATAAAGTTCCTCTAAGAGCCCCGATAAGACCACTGATAGATTTCATTTTTGGAAAGGATGTGGTGTCCTAACATCTGTCCTAACAGAAAAGTTTTCATATGCCTGGGATGATTTCCTGTCGCTAACCCATCATGTTGTAGCACTGAAGTTAAAGCTGATCTATAACCCTCTTCGGTACCATGATGAGACTTGTTATATTAGTGTAGATGCAGCAGGAAGTCTGCCACCATAGGAATAGTTATAGTCTTCTCCCAATCTAGTCTTCTTCTCTGCTGGCTCAACTTGTCCCATCTATTGTCATAGATTGCAGATGAAGATGGTCTTCAAGGTCTTCAATGTCTGTGAAGAGTGACTCACATTATGTCGTATCTGGGTTGACGTAGGAGATCTTGTCATTCCGCAACTTCAGAGGTGCTTCCATGAAGAGTGGAAATAGTCTGGGAAACCATGTTCATTTTTTTGCACACTGAGAATGATCATGCAGTCTGTGTTCTTTTGCAGTACCCTGTCTTGGAGAGACCAGCGAGGCTATGCATACATAAATATCCCTGTCTTTTTGATTAGCTTGTTGAGACAAGTTGTAAACAAGTCTAGTGAGAAGGTTCCCACATTGATGTTAGAATACTTCTGGATGGAGGGACCATACTGTCTCTACTATCCTCCCACATCATGACGGCCTGAAGTTCCCTGGAACATGCAATGCTTACATCCAACAGCTGATTAAGTCTGCCAAATCTGTCTTGATATAAGTCCAGCTGTCCTGGTTTCCCCTTGTCTCTTGTGGTATTATCTCTGGCTATCAGAATAAAAAGTTTGTGTGCATAATAGAAAGCCCTCTCCATGAGACAACTGATGTAAATATCTTCCTCGCAAGATTTCCATAGCCATTGGGTCATCTGCTTTTTACAGTATTCCAGTTATATCACGGCGTGTCAGCTTAACGTGGGAGGAATCCCTGAAGTGATGCAGGTCTCAGATGTTTACCACTTGGGTGAAACCCACGAGCATGGGTATGGTGCTTACAAACCTAGAAACATAATCGATGTGAACCAGGATTCAAACCCACAATCATAGGTTTCTGGCGTGCCCAAGGGATTCTGCACAGCGAATTGCGGTGCCTTAAAAGACTGGGCCACCAGTGCCTCTGCTAGGAATACGAGTGGAATGCCCTTCATAACGTTTTCCCGGAAGTTCCACCAACTGAGTTCAGGTTTGGCGGGTAATGCACAAGAGTGTCTAACACAATTCATCAATGCTTGGAGTGGTCATAGTTGACCTGTGACCATGTGTGTCATGAAGAAGGGTAAGAATTGCTGACTTTGTGATTATAGTCTATGGGACTGATGGTAATAGGCCTATTGCCGGTCCTGTGATAACTTCTACGTCTCTCTGGACCGTGATGCTTGACCCTGCTTCACCATGGCCGGGGGATGCCTCTGGGTCTGCGTTGATTCTTACTGCTCTGTTTGATGGAAATAAAAGCGACAAAAACCATATTTGATAGAAATCTCTGCTAAAAGCAGAGTTGATTGTACAATTCTAACTATATCATGTGCATGAGCATTATGAATCACTATGAAATATTGATGATACCAGGTGTTCGATAGAAAGGTGAGCATATCCTGCCCCACTGGTGGCATCCTGTCACAAACACAAAGCCATATTTGCGACATGCCATCTGCTGTTTCATCAATAGATGTTCTAATATTTCCATAGACATTGTCTGGTGAGGGACAATCTGAGGATGAATCTAAGATTTTGAGGTAGGTCTTAATGACTCTTCTGACGACTGTGGGCATCTTGATCAAAAGTCCTTGGAGAAGGGAGGCACAATGCAAACACAGGTAGTCATCAGTGCACTTCACATCTCTGTATCTCCAGCATGCTGAATGAGGGTACCCAGCAACAATGAACTGGCCTCACTTCTTGCAAATGGAGAACAACAACAGCGACACCACAACACATCAACTACTAACTACATATATGCATTGTCACAACCCCAAGTGTTCACATGGACCCGTGAAGATCCAGAGTAGAATAGGTCTTCAGCAACCAATGCTTGACCTGAAAGGCCACTATGCTTGTCGTAAAAGGCAACTAACATGATCGGGTGGTCAGGCTCAGTGACTTGGTTGATGCATGTCTTCATATCCCAATTGCATGGATCGATGCTCATGATGTCAATCACTGGATTGTCTGGTCTCGATTATTTAAAGACCACTGTCATATGGCTGGAATATTGCTGAAAGCGGCGTTAAACAGCAACCAACAAAAACTCAGTGTTTCCCTAACGGTTGCAACATGCAAACATGTGAACACTAATTGGTGCATCTATTTTCCTATCAAACCAAGAAAATGGATAAGGAAAAGGTTTATCTGGAGCAAGGTTATGATCAATTGATGAAATACCAAATAACAGGAATTTAAATGGGTTTACAGAAGTAGGTGACCATATGTTGGGAACCAGCTGTCTTAGAATATATTGGCACTAGTTATGGTAGTGTTCATTTTGCAATCAACCAGAGTCACCGAATGAACACTAGGGGTTGCAGTATCAACCCTTAGTGTTAACTTTTGAAATGAATGTATAATTACTAACTCTATTGTCAAAAGCAAATATTATCTTAAAACTGGTTTTTCAAAATACAATAATTGCATATCTTTCTAGACAGAGACATTAGATCATTTGGGGCAAACAGACTCTAGCAGTTGCAAATGTAACCCCTAGTGTCACCATATGAACACTAGAGGTTGCAGTATCAACCCTTAGTGTTAACTTATGAAATGAATGTATAATTACTTTGTTTTTTCAAAACAAATATTATTTTAAAACAGGTTTTCCAAAGCATAATAGCATAACTTTCTATACGAAGATATTAGATCATTTTGGGCAAACTAACACTAACAGTTGCA